CCCTGCCCTGCCCTGCCCTGCCCTGCCGTCTCCTTTCTTTCTTCTTTTTTTTTGAGACAGGGTCTCACTGTGTCACCCAGGCTGGAGTGCAGTGATGCCATCATGGCTCACTGCAGCCTCAACTTCCCAGGCTGAAGCAATACTCCTGCCTCAGCCTCCCGAGTAGCTGGGACCACAGCCATGTACCACCATGCCTGGCTAATTTTTTGTATTTTTAGTGGCGATGGGGTTTCTCCATGTTGGTCAGGCTGGTCTCAAACTCCTGACCTCAGGTGATCTGCCTGCCTCGGCCTCCCAAAGTGCTAGTATTACTGGCATGAGACACCGTGCCCGGCCAACTTTTTATTCTTTGCAGAGATGGGGTCTTGTTGTGTTGCCCAGGCTGGTCTCAAACTCCTGGGTTCCAGCGATCCTCCTGCCTTGTCCTCCCAAAGTGTTGGGATTACAGACATGAGCCACTGCGCCCGGCCTAGTTTCTTTATTTATAAAATGGGGATAATATTCTGGCCCATAGAATCACCAAGAAACTGTAAAACATAACATGCACCTCCCTTCTGTTGGAGTAGCTCCCTCTTTCCTGAGGCATCAGTGAATTCCTATTCGGGAAGTGGATAGTGGGGGTTAAGAGCATGGATTTCAGAGCCAGCCTGTCCAGGTTTGGATCCCAGCTTCACCACTTACCATCTCTGTGACTGTGGGCAAGTTACTGAATTTCTCTGTGCCATTGTTTCCATATCTGTATAGTGGGGCTAATAATAGCACTTGTCTCACTAGATTACAAGGATTAAATGAGAGAAAGCATTTTAAAGACTCTAGAACAATGCCCGGCATATCCAAAGCCCCCAGTACATGTTCACTGCCTTTATTATTATCCTCATAATATAATAGATTGTGTTTCCCTTTTTGCTTTGACAGTCAGGGAACCCACCACTGAATTTGAACCTTATCTTTAGACTTCCACAAAGGACCTAACGGCATGTATTTCTGTTTCTGTTTCCCTGTCATTCTCTGACTTTATTTAACTATTTGGCTCTCATTTCCCCCCTTACCCTGATTTCTATATGTTATTATATGTATTGCTATATGTTGTTTCAGAACAAGTTTGGAATTAATACCTTAAGAAAAATATAGCAACAGTTTGATTCAGACTGGCTTGTTGGAGTCCAGAGTGATCTTGAATTAGGAGGTGAACTGTCCTATTAAAAATAAATATTGGCCAGGTGGGGCAGCTCACGCCTGTAATCCCAGCACTTTGGGAGGCTGAGGCAGGCAGATCACTTGAGGTGAGACGTTCAAGACCAGCCTGGCCAGTATAGTGAAACCCTGTCTCTACTAAAAATACAAAAATTATCCGGGCACGGTGGTGTACACCTGTAATCCCAGCTACTTGGGAGGCTGAGGTGGAAGGATTGCTTGAACCTGGGAGGTGGAGGTTGCAGTGAGCTCAGATCATGCTGTTGCTCTCCAGCCTGGGTGACACAGTGAGCCTCTGTCTCAACAAAACAAAACAAAAACCATGTAGCTATTATTTTTGAGGGCTTATTGCATATTAGCCATTGTCATGCATCCTTTGTGTGTATTTCCTTAAACCTTACAATGATCCTCTGAGGCCAGGCCTGTTACCTCTCCATTTCATAGTTGAGGAATCTAAGGATCAGGGGTGAAGTGATTCAGCAGTGGTTTCCAGCAGCAAGTGGCAGGGTTAGGATTCAAATGTAGCCCATCTAACTCCTAAGCACACACTTTTACTCCCTGTTTGATGTTCTAGGGTCCACTGAGCTTTTGGGGGCAATGGAGGGATGATGTCAGGCAAATGACTGATTGATGCTTTCCCTCCCTGTTTTTCTTCCTCTCTTCCTATTTCTTTTACCCTCTTCTCTCTGCTTCCTGGGTTCTCCAGAGCCCATGAGGGCTCCCAAAGGCCTGGCTTTTGCTGATATCCAGGCCCGCCAGCTGACCCTGCAGTGGGAACCACTGGGTTACAACGTGACGCGTTGCCACACCTATACCGTGTCGCTGTGCTATCACTACACCCCAGGCAGCAGCCACAACCAGACTATCCGGGAGTGTGTGAAGACGGAGCAAGGTGTCAGCCGCTACACCATCAAGAACCTGCTGCCCTATCGGAACGTTCATGTGCGGCTCGTCCTCACTAACCCTGAGGGTCGCAAAGAGGGCAAGGAGGTCACCTTCCAGACAGATGAGGATGGTAAGAGTCTCAGTCTGGGTGCGGTGGCTCATGCCTGTAATCCCAGTACTTTGGGAGGCCGAGGTGGGCAAATCTCGAGGTAAGGATATTGAGACCATCCTGGCTGACACGGTGAAACCTCATCTCTACTAAAAATAAAAAAAATTAGCTGGGCATGGTGGCACATGCCTGTAGTCCCAGCTACTTGGGAGGCTGAGGCAGGAGAATCACTTGAACTCGGGAGGTAGAGGTTGCAGTGAGCCGAGATTGCACCCCTGCATTCTAGCCTGGATGACAGAGCAAGACTCCGTTTCAAAAAAAAAAAAAAAAAAGTGAGTCTCAACCTCACCCAGGGCCCTTTGTGCCTCCCACAGACACGCCATGTCTGAGACTGAAATTTGCTGAGAGAATTTTTTTGTTTAGGATTAAACCAGCTGTATGACAACAAAGTAATGATTGCTCCTATTTGTTCTCTGGAAGACTTTGGTTTAGACTGGTCTAATTTCTTTTCTTAAGTGTTTGAAAGAATTCAGTAGTGAAGCCATTTGGGCATAGAATTTTCTTTCTGGCAAGGTTATTAATAAATTTTAATTTTTAAAATAGATATTAGGATAGTCAGATTTTTTGTGCTTATATTGATTTAGATGGACTGCATTTTTTCTTTTTCTTTTCTTTTCTTTTGTTTTTGAGACAGAGTCTTGCTCTGTTATCCAGGCTGGAGTGCAGTGGCACGATCTTGGCTCACTGTAAACTCCCCCTTCTGGGTTCAAGTGATTCTTGTGCCTCAGCTTCCTGAGTAGCTAGAATTACAGATGCCTGCCACCAAACCTGGCTAATTTTTGTATTTTTACAAAATACAAAACCCTGGTGAGACAGAGTTTTGCCATGTTGGCCAGGTTGGTCTTGAACTCCTGACCTCAGGTGATCAGCCCACCTTGGCCTTCTGAAGTGCTGGGATTACAGGCAGGAACCACTGCGCCTGGCCAGCAATTGGGACTTTTCTAATTATCTTTTTATTATTGATTTCTAGGTTAATTCCACTGTGGTCAGAATATATACTCTGAATTTAATCTTTTGAAATTTGATCCTTACTTTATGGCCTGACATATGGTTAAATTTTGGTAAATGTTCCATGTGTACATGAAAAAAACATGTATTCTGTTGCTGTTGAATGCAGTGTTCTACATATGTCAAACTAGTACTTATTAAGCCCTTAGTACATGTCAAGTACCATTCTGAATGGTTTTAATACCCATGACAACCCTATGTGGTAGGTTACTATTTCTATTCCCATTTTACAGATGAGGTCACGTGGCCAGTAGAGAGGTAGCAGAGCTGGCTTTCTAACCTGCCCATCTGGCTTCACAGTTGTCATTCGTCTTTTTTTTTTTTTTTTTTTTTTTTTTGAGCTGGAGTCTCTCTCTGTTGCCCAGGCTGGAGTGCAGTGGTATAATCTCAGCTCACTGCAGCCTCTGCCTCCTCAGTTCCAGCGATTCTCCCACCTCAGCCTCCCAAGTAGTTGGGATTACAGGCACCCACCACTATGCCCAGCTTAGTTTTTGTATTTTTGGTAGAGACGGGGTTTCACCATGTTGGCCAGGCTGGTCTTGAACTCCTGTCCTCAAGTGATTTGCCTTTCTTGACCTCTCAAAGTTCTGGGATTACAAGCATGAGCCACTGTGCCTGGCCAGTTGTAGTTTTTTTTTCCTTTTTGAGACAGAGTCTTGCTCTGTCACTAGGCTGGAGTGCAGTGGCGCCATCTCAGCTCACTGTAACCTTGGCTTCCTCAGTTCAAGTGATTCTCATGCCTCAGCCTCCCGAGTAGCTGGGATTACAGGCATGTACCACCACACCCAGTTAATTTTTTTGTATTTTTAGTAGAGACAGGGTTTTACCATGTTGGCCAGATGGTCTCGATCTCCTGACCTTGTGATTTTGCCTGCCTTGGCCTCCCAAAGTGCTGGGATTACAGGCATGAGCCACCATGCCTGGCCAGTTGTCATTCTTAAGAGCTACACTCGAATGCTAGCACAGGTCCAAAGCCTTCCCTTGGATTCCTACAGATCCCAGGTACCCCGAGCTTCTTGGTTTATAGCTTTGTCTTACCGCCACATGTACACAGTTTCCTGTTCTGCACAGCATTGGCCTAGACACAAAATTCAGCTCCTTTCTTAGTTCCTGCTTTTCTCTGCGTTAGGACTTCAGCTTCCCCATAGTGGTTTATCAAGGTGCTTTCCCAAACAAAGACCATTCTCTTCCTAAATGAAATTCCTGTGCCTGCCATTAACAGTATATACGTAAACAAAAGCAAAAGAAAACAAAGCCATGCCTGAAACTGTTAATGCGAAAATGTTAACAGTATCTCTGGGTGATACAATTGTAGATGCCATTAATTTTCTTTAAGCTCATTTTGATTTTCTACATTGAACATGTCATTTATGTAATTAGAAATTTTTGGGGCTGGGCGCGGTGGCTCAAGCCTGTAATCCCAGCACTTTGGGAGGCCGAGGCGGGTGGATCACGAGGTCAAGAGATCGAGACCATCCTGGTCAACATGGTGAAACCCTGTCTCTACTAAAAATACAAAAACATTAGCTGAGCATGGTGGCGCGTGCCTGTAATCCCAGCTACTCAGGAGGCTGAGGCAGGAGAATTGCCTGAACCCAGGAGGTGGAGGTTGTGGTGAGCCGAGATTGCGCCATTGCACTCCAGCCTGGGTAACATGAGTGAAACTCCGTCTCAAAAAAAAAAAAAAGAAATTTTTAGACAAGAAAATATCTCCACCCATAATCCCAATACCCCAATGCAATTGCTGTTTTCATTTCTCTGGAACATGTGCATATTTTCTGAAAACTACCCAACTGGAACAAAATCGGAGCCTTCAAACGTATTTCTCTTCTAAATACAGCCCACACAGTAATGAAGATGCCAGCTATCCTTTTAGAGTACTTAGTAATAGGGTGAACCATATACACTTGCTGATGCTTGCCTTGGGGCAAGCATAAACGTATATCATACCATTTGTCCTGGCTTGAGAGGGGTTATTTCATCCCCACTTCACAGATGAGTTAAGTAAGGTGCAGAGAGGCTAAGTAGTCCATTAGAACCAGGTGGGAAGTGGCAAGGCTGGAATTTGAACCCAGGTGTCTGGCACCAAAGCCCACTTTCTCCTGTCCCCTGCCGCCTTTCACTCGCAGTGCCCGGTGGGATTGCAGCTGAGTCCCTGACCTTTACTCCACTGGAGGACATGATCTTCCTCAAGTGGGAGGAGCCCCAGGAGCCCAATGGTCTCATCACTCAGTATGAGGTGGGTTTGGGACCCTATTACAGGGGGGAACCCTGGTAGAAGGTGAGAGGTGACCTTCTTTCTCTCTGCTGCTACAGTAGGAGGTGCATGGGGAGGACAGATGTGATTGTCATCGTTCCTTCAACTATGGTCAGGGTCTTCATCCTGTGAATTCTAGAGCAGGACCCTGAAGGCAGGAGAGAGAGGCGAAGATGACTAGAAGCCTGGCTTGATGGCATCCATAGTCTCCTTTGCTTAGCCTCATCCCTTACTTGCCTGGAACACGGTGGGTGGAGGCTCTGGTCAGGGGTGCTGTGCCCATACTGTGCCCACCTGCCTGCCAATCCTGCTCCCAGATCAGCTACCAGAGCATCGAGTCATCAGACCCGGCAGTGAATGTGCCAGGCCCACGGCGTACCATCTCCAAGCTCCGCAACGAGACCTACCACGTCTTCTCCAACCTGCACCCAGGCACCACCTACTTGTTCTCCGTGCGGGCCCGCACGGGCAAAGGCTTCGGCCAGGCAGCACTCACTGAGATAACCACCAACATCTCTGGTGAGCCCCACCTGACCCGGCCCAGCCCTTTTAGAGGTGGCCCAGAATCCCAGCGTTCCATGGGCGGGGGGGGGGCGGGGGGGCATTCTGAGGGTGGTTGCAGAGGGCCCCTGCCGAGATAAATATGCCATTTAGGAGTTAAAGTCAGGGCTCAGGGAGGATGAAGTCACAGGAGTCAGGAGACTGCGGTCAGTGGAATCAGAAGGCTGAGGTTGCGGCTGGTGCCTGAGGTCAGGGTCCAGGGTAGCTTAGGTCATGTCAGCAGGAACAAGGAGGCTAAGGCTGAAGTAGGGGAGATCTGAGGACCGTGGTCACGGAGGCTGGAGGCCTGGTCTTCCTGGTCCAGTGGCCAAGCTCCATGCTTATGACCCTGTCCCCTTCCTCAGCTCCCAGCTTTGATTATGCCGACATGCCGTCGCCCCTGGGCGAGTCTGAGAACACCATCACCGTGCTGCTGAGGCCGGCACAGGGCCGCGGTGCGCCCATCAGGTGGGAAAGCGGGACGGAGGGGTGGGAGGCCAGGGCCGTAGGGAAGAGGCCCCTCTTCTGACCAGAGTCCCAGCCCAGGCCAGCTCACCCCGTCCTCCCTTAGTCTCCCACACAGGGCTTGGAGTATCTGGAGGAGGATGTTCTGTGATGCTGGGCAGGTGAGACGCCTGCAGTCCCTCCCCTTTGAGGCCCTGGGTCTCAGATGGTGACTGTCACAAGGACCCTGGATAGGTCGAGCCTGGAGAGGGGACTTTCCAGGCCTCTCCAGGGGGCCTTTCCTCAGACACCTTGGAGAAGTGAAACTCTGGGGGCCTTATATCACCCCAGCCTTTTCCTGGGAGCACAGAGATGGGCTTTCTAGAAGGCTGGGGCAGCCAGCCAGACAGGCCATCTCTCTGGAGTGGCTAGGGGCCTGGCTTCTTCACCTCCTCTCCCCAGAGGAAGCTGGGCCTGCTGGGGCCATGGTGGCTGCCACGCTGGGGAGACGGTGCTGGAGATACGACTGTGTGTGTGTGTGTGTGTGTGTGTGTGTGTACATGGTATGTGATCCTGGGTGTGTGTGTGTGTGTGTGTGTGTGTGTGTGTGTACATGGTATGTGAACCTGGGTGTGTCTTTGTGAGAAAGACATGGGATATGTGGTGTGAGCATGTGTGAGAGGTGCGTGTGGGAGACATAAGTGTGCATGTGTGTGAGAGTGTGAGGGTGTTTGTGTAAGTGTGTGCATGTGCTGTTAGCCAGACCCCATGCTAGGGGCTTGATCTGCCTGAAGCCATTTATCCTCATGGCAGCCTGTGGAATGGGTATTATATCAGGAAGCTGACTCGGAGAGCCTAAATCACTTGCCCCCAAGGCCACACGGCCAGTAAATGGTGGAGCTGGGTATTGGAACCCAGATCTGCCTGCTATGCCTGTACCTTTCCTAGAAGTCATCGAGCCTCCCTGCCCTTCTAGTCCACCCCTTCCTTCCACGAAGCTACATGCACTGGGAGAGGGTGACAGCCTTTAGGTGTGGGGTGTGAGGGTCCTAGTCAGTTTCCCAGGAAGATAGTGGGCTGCCCAGGTGACCATAGCAGTCCCTTACCTCCTCGTCCCCCACTGTATCCTATCCTCTTCTGCTTTGTCCTCCCTGTATTTGCCACTGCAAATCCTGTCCTGGGCCAATTCCTAGACCCTCAGGGAAGACCCAGGAAAAAGTCATGGGGTCTGCAGGGCCTTTGCCTTTTGCTGGCGCCTCAAGGCCCTTGTGCTGCTGAGTCTGGGAGGGGCTGGGAACCCTTCCTTCCTTGTCCTCTTGAGGAATCCTGTGAGCAGGTCTGGTCAGGGTCCCTCAGGATGACGATTGCAAGGCTGGGTGGGGGCAAGGGGTGGGTTATGGTGGGAGGGGAGCAGCAGGATGGCTGTGTGACCCTGGGCATCTCTCTTTACCTTCCTGAACCTCCATTTCTTTATCTGCACAATGGGGATTGTTCTAGATTAAGATGCACTTTGTTCATGGCTAATGTTAATGATTACCTCCTGGTGGGACTTAGGGCTGGGAGAGGTCTCAGCCTGGGGTAATGGAGGCTGAGAGGGGCTGGGACTGGTGTTTATAATGGGCTAGTGACAAGCAGTGGGCTGGTGTCCAACACTCTGGGATGATTCCCCACAACTTGGATGCTCAAAAGAAACATCTGGTGAGCAAGGAAAAGGCATTTCTACTTCCCCGAGCAGGGGCTGTCAGTATGGGATGTCACACACCAAGATGTGACTGAGACTGTAACTGGAAATATTTAAATTTGTCAGGATTCACACATTTACTCTCCACTTTGTTCTGCAGAGCATTTGGAGGAGCTCATAGCAGAAACCTACTTGGTAAAGAGATAAAACAATCAGAAACACCGCTGGGACAGGGAGCACAAAGCAGGGTGGGCAATCAGGACCCTGAGACAGCAGGGCTCTGATTTGCTGATGAGAGGCTGCCTCAGCGTTGAGAGGGTGCTAGAGACATAGTGCTAGGTGTCCTTGTTTGCTAAGTGACTGTCTCTCTCACTAGAGGTCAGTTTTAGGAAGCCCAGATGCCTAGTGTCTAGCACAGGGCTCATGATCTGAGCTCAGTCAATTCTTTCTGAATTAATCTGGCTAATCCTGAAAGTTACTGAGTCTCAGAAGGGCGCTGTCAGTAGCTTTGGTTTCCCAGGTCTTGTGTCACACACACAGGAGGATTCATGGAGGAAGCAGGGTGGGGCCTTATGGCTTGGTTGTGTTGAGCAGGGCCCACGATCCTCTTAGCCCGGGTTAGTAACAGAAATAACCGCTGACATGTGCTGGCTGCTTGCTTAACTTGCCTGTTCTTCCCATCTATCTCTTGGAACAGCCTCGAAATCACTTCTATTTTATGGAGGAGGAAACCGAGGCCCAGAGAGGTTAGGGGACTTGCCCAGCTAGTAAGGGACTTGCCCAGCTAGTAAGCCCCTAGGAGGGCTTGACCACAAAGCCCATGCCTTTAACTGCCAGCGGGCTCTCCCGGTCCTCTGGCCGCCTGTGATCCCCTGTACTCTCTCCTCCCTGTCCAGTGTGTACCAGGTGATTGTGGAGGAGGAGCGGCCACGGAGGCTGCGGCGGGAGCCAGGTGGACAGGATTGCTTCCCAGTGCCACTGACCTTCGAAGTGGCACTGGCCCGAGGCCTGGTGCACTACTTCGGGGCTGAACTGGCGGCCAGCAGTCTACCTGAGGCCATGCCCTTTACCGTGGGTGACAACCAGACCTACCGAGGCTTCTGGAACCCACCGCTTGAGCCTAGGAAGGCCTATCTCATCTACTTCCAGGCAGCAAGCCACCTGAAGGGGGTGAGGGACCCGCCAGGGTCATGGTGGGGTGGTTGGGGGTGTGATGGCAGGCAAGGGATACCTTGCAGCAGACCCAGCACAGACTCCAGGCCCCACCCTTCCCATGGCCCCGTCTCCTAAAGCTCCTCCTCCCATAGCACCCCCATAGCCCTATTTTCTGCAGCCCCACCTCCGATAGCCCGCCCCTACAACACCGCCCCCACAGCCCCTCCCATAGCCCTGCCTCCTATAGCCTTACCTCCCATAGAGCCACTCCCACAGCCCCACCTTCCACAGCCCCGCCTCCCATAGCTCGTCCTCCCACAGCCCCTCCTCCCATAGTCCTTCCTCCCATAGCCCCTCCCCCCTAGTCCCACTCCTCCCATAGCCAGCCCTCCTGACCCCAGGCTCATTGTCACAGAGCACTACTTGCTTCCTGAGCCTTCTTTCCTAGGCTCTTCCTTTGTATCCAGGTCCCCAGTCTAGTTTGCCTCTTCCTGAGGCTCTGCCTTCTGTCTTAGATGCTTCTTTTCCCAGAGAAGCCCATATCAGGTTCCTGCATTACCGCTTTGAGGCCTAGGACCCGCCTTGTCCCCGAAACCCCGCCCTATCCTTCAGGCTCCTCCCTCCTCTGCTTGCTTGGTTTTCCCCTTCCTAGCTAGTCCTCTGGCCCTAAGCCCCGCCCTGATGCTTGAGGCCCCGCCCATTTCCCCATGGTGTTTGTTTCTCTCTTGCCTCCGATCTCATCCCCCTTTCCTAAGGCACTGCAGGTGCCTCCCCTCTAGCCCCCACTCTCAAGGGTCTTCCCAGGCCTTCCTTTGGGTGGAGTGTCCTTAGATGCCATCAGCACCAGACAAAGCCCTGAACAGGCTCAAGAAACGCTGCCTGAGGTTCCCACCCTGGGGAGGGAGAGGTCGGGGCTTCAGCAGTGCTGAGACCCCCATCTGTGCCTCCAGGAGACCCGGCTGAATTGCATCCGTATTGCCAGGAAAGGTAAGTCCACTGGGTTCCTGCAGCCCTTCAGCAGCAGGTTTCTCACCTGCCCAGCGCTGGGGTGGTGGATCCAGAGGACCTAGGGCTGTGGGAGTAGAGGATGGCCGTCGGGCAGGCCTGGGGCTAGGAGGGGCTTCTTTGCTGGGTTTCCATGTGCATTACCTCAAGGGCTCCTCCCAGGCTGACAGCAGGGGCCTGGAGCAGGCCTGTGGAGAGGAGCCATTATAGTTGGGCCCTGGGTTTTTGGGTACTGGGTGCTGGTTCTGGGTTATGTATCTGCCCAGCTTTCCTATGGTGGGGGAGAAGGTGGGGTCAGCATGGGCTCTGTGCTGTAGGGATCGTTCCTGCTTCCAGACAGGGAATGTGGTTGGCTTCCCATCCTGAGATGCACGAACCATGCCCTAGGTACACAATTGCTGATCCTTATTACCTCCCAGGAGGGTGAGAGGGTGGAGCTGAAGGCCCAGGTATCTGCTCTCCCCTATCCGCTGAGATTTGGGAGGATATTAGAAAGTGGGGAGCGAGGGAAGCTATTCCTGATAAGGGAGCCATGTCAATGAGGACTGTGACTCATAAGTGCAGAAAGTATCAGGAATGGTGAGGAGGTAGATTTGCTCAAAAGGCAGGACACGTGTTGAGCATGTGGGGCGGTTTATGCATGTGTGTTTGTGTAGCCCAGTTTGTTCCCTGGGCACAGACCCCTGCAGGAGGGGCTCAGTGGTCCCTGTCTCCCCTCTGATCCCTTACTCTGCTTTGTTCTCTCCCCAGCTGCCTGCAAGGAAAGCAAGCAGCCCCTGGAGGTATCCCAGAGATCGGAGGAGATGGGGCTTATCCTGGGCATCTGTGCAGGGGGGCTTGCTGTCCTCATCCTTCTCCTGGGTGCCATCATTGTCATCATCCGCAAAGGGTGAGTGAGGCCGGTGCCCTGTCCCACCAGTGGCTTCTACCCCTTAGAGGCCTGGTGGCACAGAGGAGTAGAGGCTTAGAGCTGGTAGGGCAGCTGCCCTGCAGGTGTGTGGAGGGCTGCCAGCTTGGGCATCTGCTCTGCCGATGGATCTGAGCTGGGCAGAGGGCTGCCCCAGAGTATATACCTGTACCCAGAGTACAGGTCTGGCTGGTTCCAAGTGCTACTGTCCAGGGAGGGGCCCGCAGTGCCTGGTGCCAAGGAGCTGTGCTTGCTGGGACTGTTTCAATAGGGAGGGCATGGAGGTGACCTGGCTTTGGACCCCTACCCCCTGCAGACCTTCAGCTCATGGGATTGTGCAGTTGACCCTGAGCAGGGGGCTGGTTCTCACACCTCTTCAAACCAAAGGCCTTGATTTGTCCAAGGTTATTCCTGGGCTCCACTTTGGGCTCAGCTTTCCCTGGACCCTGTTACTGTGGATCCCTGAGGAGCCCTCCTGGGCCCGTGACTGAGAAACTCATCCCCCTGCTGCTCCTACCATCCCCCAGCTCTCAAAGTTCCAGTCACATGTTTGCATGAAATGTTTCTTAGTGGATTTGCAGAGGGCAGCACAAATCTCAGTACATTGTAGAATTCAGAACCTAGGATCTTGTAGTTTCAGACATGTAGGATTCAGGACTCTAGGAATCTTAGGCTTTAGAATTGTAGAGGCTCAGAGCCCCAGAACGTAAGAGCTGCTGGGTAGTTCAAGGCCATCTAGTGTAATGGTTTTCAAATCTTTTTAAAGAAATAGAATCTGCCTTCAAAACACCAGAAAACCCTTCCCTGGGAGCCTGGTACATGGAGCACATGAAGGCTGAGCAGCAGTTCTGGTTGGAGGCTGGGTGACGGCTTCTGAGACCTTTCTGCTTGCCAGCTCTGCCCACCGGGCAGCCGTGGGACACTGTGGTCTAAGCATCTTCAATAAGTGATAGGGATGCTGAGGCTTAGAGGGGGCGCAGGCCTGCCCAAGGCCACCCAGAGAGCCAGAGGCAGAGCCAGCTCCACCCTTCCCCACCTGGGCTCTGGCTTCTATAGCCCCTGCTGCTGCCAGGCTGGGCACATGTGGTTGAGTTGGCTGTATTTCTGGGCTGCCGGGAGCAGATAAGTAGGATCCAGGAAGATGAGAGAGAGAGAGCTGGCTGGGGCCACCTTGCCTGAGGCCAGATACCAGCAAGAGAGAGAGTCTAGGGGTGGAGTGTGCAGCGGAGTGGAAGAGATGTGGGGGGATGGCCCAGCCAGGGCGATATGCTCTGATTTTTCCCCTAATTGTCCCTGCACAGCTTTAAGAGAGACTATTTTAGGTATCATTTAATGAGGGATTGCTATGTGCCAGGAGCTTCACACACATCATCCATGAGTACATTAGTTATTGGGCACCTACTGTGTGCCAGGCACTGTTCTGGCACTCAGGATGTGTTACAGAACATTTCCTTCTTGGATCTTGACTGACTTCCTTTTTTTCTGGATGAAGAAACTGTAATGAAAGCACCTAGCCCAGGCCGCTCGGCTGATGAGCGGTAGGCCTGACTTCAGTTCGGGCTCGCCTACAAGTGTGAAGGCCTCACCGAGTCTGGTGCACAGGAGGTGCCTCCAACGTGGCAAGCCCCTGATTTCTCTCCAGCATTGGCTTGATGAGTGACTCTAAGTAGGGCTGCAGCGGGAGAGGGCTATAATTAGGAGGAGGCAGATTTCAGTTTCAGGTGGTATTTGAGGTCCTAGAAATCTATGCTCAAGGAAAGAGGATAGGCAGAGTGGGGGGTGTCACCCACCCCGGCAAAGAGAGCTCTGGGCCCAGGACAGGATAGATCAGAAATGTTGTCAGGGCCTTACTAGGAAAGCTTCCATTATATATTTGCTACCCCATAAACCCAGGCTACCCCAGATGCCTCCAGGAACCCCTTGTCCCCCTCACCCTGCACCTCCTTACTTCCCCTAAAAGCCATCAGTCTCCCTGCGTAGCACCTGCTACATCCCCCTGGATCTGAGCCTGGCCTTCAGGGCCCTCTGTGCTCCCCAGGGCTCTTGTGGTCTGCATTGTGGGTATCATGGGACACAGAGGCCCTGGCAGGGATGGAGGTGTTCCCGTCAACTTGGGGTGCCAACATAACCAACAAGAGGAGGGCAGTTGCCACGCCCCCGTGGAGACTTATTGGAGGCAGGAGGGAATCCCGGGGGATTATGGGAAACAGAGGCCAGATGGGAGGAGATTTCAGATTCTCTGTCCTGCCCTGCCTCTGTGGACGATCAGACTGGATGCATCTGCCGTAGAGGAATTCTAGGGCCTGGAAGGGAGGCTGGTGACCCCAGGCCAGGTCAGATCCCCTAGCTCTGCTTCCAGAAGCCCCCACACCCTACCTTTCTCCATGGCAGCACTTTCTTCTCCCTGCACATTGTCATTTACTTACTTGTAGTGTTTTGCTCAATGCTTGTCTTGCCTGCTGGGTTAAGAGCTTCATGAGGGCAGAGAAAGCCCTGTCTTGTTGTCTGGGTATCTCCATGGTCTAGTCCAGGGGAGTCGGGTCTCCCCACTCTGAGATGCAGGGAGACAGGGAGGAGTGGATTGTGGGCACTGCTGGGTGCAAACTTCCCGGTGCTGGGACCTCACAGCAGCCCCTGTGGGGGATTATTATTAACCTCACTATGTGTGTGTGTGTGTGTGTATGTATGTATGTAATGTATGTATGTATGTATGTAAGTATGTATGTATGTACGTATTTTTTGAGACAGAGTTTTGCTCTTATTGCCCAGGCTGGAGTGCAGTGGTGCAATCTTGGCTCATTGCAGTCTCCGGTTCCTGGGATTACAGGTGCCCGCCACCACGCCTGGCTAATTTTTTGTATTTTTAGTAGAGTTGGGGTTTCATCATGTTGGACAGGCTGGTCTCAAACTCCTGACCTCAGATGATCCACTTGCCTTGGCCTTCCAAAGTGCAGGGATTACAGGTGTGAGCCACCACACCCGGCCTTAACCTCACTTTTTAAAGAGGAAAGTGGAAGTGCAAGGAGGTGAAGTTCTTTTATTTATTTTTACTAATTTATTGATTACTTCATTCAACAAAATATTTTTGGGGGATTACAGTGTGTGGGGCCCTGGGAGAACCAGAAGGAGACAAAAAGACAAGGATTCTGTCCTCCTGTTCTTTGTAGCCAGCGGAGAGCCTGGCATGAAATTAGAAAAAACACAAACAGATGAGATAATTACAAATTGTGAAAGGAGCAAGGTGCCGGGTGTTGGGGGCAAAGAGAATTTGGGAGACCTCATGTAGCTGGCACTTGTGGGAGAGTGGTCCGGGAATAACCTTTTGAAAGCACAACGTGTCATCTGAGGCCAGTAGAATATAATTTCTTTTTTCTTTTTTTTCTTTTTTTTTTTTTTTTT